CAACACTGACCTGTGACAGGGCCTCATCTGGGCCTGGGTATACAGCAGGTACACATTAAATGTACACTGGGTGAGCACAAGGATCTTGCCTGTTCTGAGGGGGAGGTGTTTTCTCCTTGCAGGAGTCCTCCTGGCTGGGCTCACTCTGCATGGTCAGTCAGTCAGTCAACACACATTGTACCGAGAGCTCTCCTGGGCCTGTGGGAGCCTGGGGACAGACACACCACAGCCTCGGAGCAGTCTGCAGGGCCACCAGTTATAAAGCCAGCCCTGCCAGGTATCAATCGGAATCCATCCTTGCTGAAGGGGACGGACAGCAAGTGAACTGCAAAATGGTCTTGTGAGACTAGAAAGAGCCAGTGCCAGCCCAAAAGGCAAGGCCCGGGTCCCTCCCAGCGGCCGCAGAAACACCTGTGCTGAACCAAGGAGGTGGCAACCGGTCCGGCTCCGTGCGAGGGCGGAAGCGGGGCAGGAAGGGAGGGAGGGGCCGCCGTCTTCGCCCGTAACCCGAGCCTCAGGAATGCTGCGAGGCCAGACGCGCCCCCGACCCAAAGCCAGGCGCCCCTCCCCGGGCCGCCCCACAAGGTCCTGTCACTTGGGTCCCTGCCAGCCCCGCTATTTCCAGTCCCTGGAGCCTAAATTCTGGGAGGCTGCCCCTACTAGGCGCACTCAGCCCAGCGGGGTCCTGAGATCCAGGGACCATCCCGGCAAGCCTCACGCCCAGAAGGACCCTCCGCCTAACCCCTTTTTGCTTCCTGCTTAACTCTTTTCTCTTTCTTTGGGGCTTTCCGTTTTATACAGTAGATTTTAGGTCTCTGAGTCTTCAAATAAAGACTAAGCAGTAAACCGAGTTGAAGGTGGCTCTAAACAAGAAAGCAGATCTCTTCAAGCCGGGCAGAGGCCAGAGCTCCCCAGGGCTGGAGGTGGGCGTCAGGTTCAGCCTCCGTTGGTAAGGCAGGAGCAGGGACAGGGTTGAGTTCTGATCAGGTATACGCTGTGTGATTCGGAGATGCGTTGTACAACCCCTCTGGGACATGGGATAATGCCCCCAGACTCGTGGAGAGGCTGGGAGAATGAAATGAAAATGTATTCCGGGCCCTGGCTGGTGTAGCTCAGTGGATTGAGCGCAGGTTGCGAAACAAAGCATCGCAGGTTCGATTCCCAGTCAGGGCACATGCCTGGGTTGCAGGCCAGGTCCCCAGTGGGGGCCACATGAGAGGCAACCACACACTGATGTTTCTCTCTCTCTCTTTCTCCCTCCCTTCACCTCTCTAAAAATAAATAAATAAAATCTTAAAAAAAAAATGTATTCCAGGCCCAGCCCTCATCGACACCTCCCTCAACCCCACTAACTTTGGAACAAATACCACCCACCCCAGTTTGAGTAGAGGCCCTGTCACCCTTATTTTCCTCCCCCCCACCCCGTTTCTCCCTGGCTCTCCCAGTCCAGTCCAACCTTTCTCTGCCCTCCATCCATGTGGCAGACTGGCTTCTGCCCCAGGGCTTTTGCACTTGCTGTTCCCACTGGGACATTCTGCTCTCCATCATCTCTTGACTTGCCCTTCATTCAGCATCACCTCCTGGGGATGCCTCTTCCAGATTATTCAGTGCTGAACACCCGCTTTTACCCGCCATGAAAGCAACATTATCCTCAAAGCTGTGTTTGTCACCTTCCTTCAGATCCTGTGCTGGGTGGGTGGGGTTGTTTGTGTCATTCATGTGTGTCCCATCACTGGGCTCACAGTAGATGTTCATTCCAGGGTGTGGAATGAAGGAAAGAAGGAATGGAAGTTATACCTAGTTCATTGCATGGGGCTGGTTGATGGATTTAGTGCCCTCCTTGACCTGCCCAAGAAGCCCCCAGTCTCACAGATCTGGATGCACTAAACTGCCTCCAAACTGCAGTTTGGAGGCAGCTCTGTGGGGTCAGGGCTGGTCCAAATGGAGGGACAGGACTGGGGTGTCCCAGAGTTCTCCCTAGCTGTAAGGAAGGAGAAGGTAGGGAAGGGCATCTGGTCTGAGGGAATAGCGAGTATGCAGCAGAGGAGCCTGAGAGGGGTCAGGCCTTGGAAAGTGGAGCTGGCAGAGTCTGCCAAAAGTAGCACCCTACATTTAGAAGCCATGACAGGTCCTCCCACCCAGTCTCAAGGACCCTGCCTTCCCCTGTCTGGAGCATATAGAGTCAGACACCAATGGCAGACAGGGCTCATACAGGTGGAAGGGGTCTAAGGAATTCCCCAGGGCCATGGTTAAGGAAGGCTTCTTGGAGGAAGGAACATTGGAAATGAGTTTGAAGGACAAATAGGAGTTTGCCTGGAGGTTAGGGAAGGGTACCTATGCAGAGGGAACTCCAGACCAAAGAACTGCAGTTAAGTTTGGCCGAATAATAATAATGTAAAACAGCCCCGGCCTTAGTTGGTTCCAGTGTAGTCCTGAAACTTTCCAGTTATGGGTTTGATTCCCAGTCAGGGCACATACCTAGGTCGTATGTTCCATCCCCAGTCTGGGAGTGTATGATCCCCAGTCCAGGTGCATATTCCAATTGATGTTTCTCTCTCACATTGATTTTTTCTCTCTCCCTTCCTCTCTCTCTAAAAGCAATGAAAAAAAAATCATGGGTGAGGATAAAAATTTTTTTAAAAGATTTTATTTATTTATTTTTAGAGAGGTGAAGGGAGGGAGAAAGAGAGAGATAGACATCAATGTGCGGTTGCTGGGGGTCATGGCCTGCAACCCAGGCATGTACCCTGACTGGGAATCGAACCTGAGACACTTTGGTTCGCAGCCCGCGCTCAATCCACTGAGCTATGCCAGCCAGGACCAAGGATAAAGATTTTAAAAAATAAAAATAAAACAATGATAGAGACCATTATTGAACTTACACTATTTCCACAAATCCAGTAAAAGTCTCAATACTCCATGAGGTTGTAGTATTATTTGCTCCATTTTCATGAAGAGGAAACTGAGAAGTAACTTGCTTTGGCCTCCCTGTGCCTCCATTTCCCAAGGCCTGTCTGCTGGTCAGTCTTTCAGTTCTGTCTGTCTCTGCACACAGTTCATGAGACATTCACCTATCTATCAATGTTAAGGCCCAAGATTACGGTGGATCCTCCCTAGGCCACCCAACCACCTTCCTGCCATGGGGAGAAGCACAGCATCCTCTTTTCCAATCTTGTTTCAGATAGGGGTCCCAGGGCAGGATTGGCTACAGGCCTGGCAGGGGCTATACTCACTTCCACCAGGGGTTCCTTTGCCCGGCTGGGACCCAAGAGGACAGGTCTGGAGGGCTTTTCATATGCCTTGAAAAAGACATATACACCTGGTAGTCTGCTCCATACACCAATACACACAGGCACACATCCATATGCTTGGCCCTCTGCCCTCAAGGCCAGGCCAGCCATCCCTCTTACTCATAATCACAACCTCCCTCATGGCCTTTTTGCTTCAAAGCCAGTAGGGGCAGCGCCAGGTGAGGAAGGGAGCTGGGGTGGGGGTGGGGTGGGGGGGCAGGTGCTTCTGTCCACAGACCACACACACAAACCAAGGCCAGAGGCTGCCACAGCAAACCCAGCCAGGCAGTGTTCTCTCCTTTAACACTTTGTGTCCACTGTATGCTAGGCCCTATGCAGGGACCTAGGGACCTGGGGACCTACCAGCCCCAGGATAGAGAAGGTCCCCTTGCCTTCTGGGGATTTATGATCCACTCCATTATTCTGGATGATTCCAAGGATATAATGGGAAGAAGGGGAGAATCACCAGAGGGCATAGCACATGCAAAGGCCCCGGAGTGCTCAGGGGCTGGGAAGCCAAGGCTCAGATAGGGTAAGAGTGAAAGATCAGTGGGGGAAGGAGGGTGTGGAGCTCCCACCACTTGGCTGAGGAGTGGGCTCCATCCTGAGTGCTGTGGGAGCCATGGAGGGGTTGTGTGCAGGGGCTGTCTGCAAACTCTGGTATCTCAAGGGTCCCTGGGGAGTGTTGAGAAATGTGTTCCTCTCCTTCTATTTGTATATTCCATCCCCAACCTTACGCTTAAGCCTATGGTGGCTCATTAAGCCCTAACCATCATAATGGTAATAAGCAGATAATCATTACCAGCAGGGATTCTGGCCTAAGCCTAAGCATACTTATCCGGGGACACACAGCAGGACCTGGAAAAGAGTTAAAACGTAGGCGGCTGCCCAGGGGCGTGGACACCAGGATTTTACAGGATGGATAAGAGCTCAGGCCTGGTTACAACTCTGGTCTCCTCAGGCAAGTCACACTGCGCCTCAGATTCTCATCTGTCAGGAATTCGGACCCAGTGCTTTAGACAGCTCCCAGTGAAAAGTAGTAGGATCAAAGCGCTTTCAGCAACTTCTGGGAGCTCTCTTCTAACTTTCTCTGTCTTTCTGGGGCAAACACACCACCAGACAATGCGGTGAAGGTGGGTGAAGGCAGTCCTGGCCCACATCCCGGGCGAGCCACTAGCCACCGCTCCTCCAGGACTTCAGCCTCCAGCGCACACAAAGTTTGACCAAAACGCGTTACGGGAGGCACCGTCCGTGGAGTGGAGTAATTTATCCATCTGGGACCCCAAAACCCACCACCTTCGTTCCAGGGGACCGGCACCGCCCCCGCCGGCCGGGCCCCAAGATGGACCGCGGGGCGGGGCTTCAGGGCTGGCAGGCGCCCAGTGGCTAGGCGCCTGGTGGCCGGGCCTATCACGCCACCCGGACGTGCCTTGGCGGGAGGCGGCGCTGGGGACCTTGGTCGTACACAACGCTCCCTCCCGGTGCGGAGTAACCCGGCCCAGTCGCCCGCCCCGCCCCCATGACGTAAACCCACAAGGCAGCGCGCTGTTGTGCCGTTTACCGCACGTCACCGGGGCAACGGCAGCCGGGGGGGCGTTGATAGCTAGGCTCCGCCCTTCCATGTAAATGAGAGACGTCACCCACACCCAATGGCGAGCGGGGGCAGTGAGCTCATCGCGCTGGGCCGAGGCTATAAGAGGGCGCGCGGGTTGCGCGGCGCAGGAGCCGCCGCCAACCGAGGGCCGGGCGCAGCGGCTGCGGCCGGGGCGGGCACTGGGGCCAAGCGGACGGGGGGGGGTGCGGGCCCCTCGGGAGGCCTCAGCCACTCCCCTCCCCCCCGGACCGGTGCGGCGGGGGAGGCGGAGGATGGAAACACCCTTCTACGGCGATGAGGCGCTAAGCGGCCTGGGCGGCGGCGTCAGTGGCAGTGGCGGCGGTAGCAGCTTTGCGTCCCCGGGTCGCCTGTTCCCCGGGGCGCCCCCGACGGCAGCGGCCGGCAGCATGATGAAGAAAGATGCGCTGACGCTGAGCCTGAGCGAGCAGGTGGCAGCAGCGCTCAAGCCCGGGGCCGCGCCGCCCCCAGCCCCCTTGCGCACAGACGGCACCTCTGGCTCGGCGCCGCCCGACGGCCTCCTCGCCTCACCGGACCTAGGGCTGCTCAAGCTGGCCTCGCCCGAACTGGAGCGTCTCATCATCCAGTCCAACGGGCTGGTTACCACCACGCCGACGAGCACGCAATTCCTCTACCCCAAGGTGGCGGCCAGCGAGGAACAGGAGTTCGCCGAGGGCTTCGTCAAGGCCCTGGAGGACTTGCACAAGCAGAACCAGCTGGGTGCGGGTGCGGCCTCCGCTGCGGCAGCGGCCGGGGGACCCTCCGGCACGGCTGCTGGTGCCGCGCCTCCCGGAGAGCTGGCTCCGGCGGCGGCCACGCCCGAAGCGCCAGTCTACGCTAACCTGAGCAGCTACGCGGGCAGTACCGGGAGTGCGGGGAGTGCTGCGACTGTTGCCTTCGCCGCCGAGCCCGTGCCCTTTCCGCCGCCACCCCCGGGCGCACTGGGGCCGCCGCGCCTCGCCGCGCTCAAGGATGAGCCACAGACGGTGCCCGACGTGCCGAGCTTCGGTGAGAGCCCGCCGTTGTCGCCCATCGACATGGACACTCAAGAGCGCATCAAGGCGGAGCGCAAGCGGCTGCGCAACCGCATCGCTGCCTCCAAGTGCCGCAAGCGCAAGTTAGAGCGCATCTCGCGCCTCGAGGAGAAAGTGAAGACACTCAAGAGCCAGAACACGGAGCTGGCGTCCACTGCGAGCTTGCTGCGTGAGCAGGTGGCGCAGCTCAAGCAGAAGGTCCTCAGCCACGTCAACAGCGGCTGCCAGCTGCTGCCCCAGCACCAGGTGCCCGCGTACTGAGCCCGCGCTTGGGGCGCATGCGCGGCCCCCCTCCCCGAGAGGCGGGCTTGCGTGGGGGGGCGTGGGTGTCCCGGACTTGGAGAGGGCGTGGCCCCGGGGACGCCCCCGGATGGTGCCAGGACTCAGAGAGGGCGCCTCAGACTCGACAAGCTGGACCCCCTGCTCCCGGGGGGCAAGCGCATGACTTCCCCCGCCCCCTGCCCTCGCGCTGCCTCTGACCTCTGCGCGTGGCCGCCTGAATTGCACAAACCCGCGCGCCCGGCCTCCCCTTTGTACGCACCGCCGCCGAAGAGGGTTCCGAGGGGGCGCAGCCTGAAGCCCTGCGTTGCCTTTTTTTTTTTCATTTGGAAGAGAGAACAGTGTTTGATTCTGCCCTATTTATGTTTGTACTCGGGAACAAACGTTGGTTGTGTGAGTGTGTGTTTTCTTGTGTTGGTTTTTTAAAGAAATGGGAAGAAGAAAATTACTCTACCCTTTTCCTTGCTCTCTGCCCCGCCCCCGTCCTCCCGCTCCCCCTTTTTATTCTGTTTTGTTTTGCTACGAGTCTACATTCCTGTTTGTAATACTTGGTTCGCCCGGTTTTCTGTTTTCAGTAAAGTCTCCTAATGCCAGCTCTGCTCTCCGCCTCCTCCTTCCTCCGCCGGGGCTTGATGGGCTGGGCGAGGCCTGGCTCGTTCCCCTTCCCCCACACCTTCTGCCCTCCGCCCTCCTCCCCTGCTCAGAGGAGGGGGAGCCCGACACCCGGGAGGGGCCTGCACCTCTGGCGCGCAGCGAGCGCCATCTAGGCGCGCCTGGGCGCGAGGTCGACTCTTATCTGGGCTGGGTGGGGGACGCTGGAGACTTGAGGTCCGTCGGTTGGAACTACCGAGCTTGCAGTGTCCCCTTTGGGGAGGAGTTGACTGCAGGATGGAAAGAGGACAACAGCCCGAGCCCGGAGTAGGAAAGAAAAGGCAGAGACATTAAGCTTCTGGGCCAATGTTTGTGAAGTGGGCAGAACAATCAACCTGCTCCATGAAGTTCTGAAGATTAAGTTTGTTTACACTGTCCAACCCGCGGCCCACGGCATGTGCCCCAGGATGGCTGTGAATGCGGCCCACCACAAAATCGTAAATTTACTTAAAACATGAGATTTTTTTGTTGCTGTTTTCATTAGTGTTTGTGTATTTAATATGTGGCTCAAGACAACTCCTCTTCCAGTGTGGCCCAGAGGTGCCAAAAGGTTGGACACCCCTGGTTACAGAGTAGTGCTTGGCTTACAGTCACTAGTGCCTGATGTGTTTATTATAGGTTAGGGGGTGGGGCAATTGAGCCTCGGGACCAGAAGGAAAGTGGCACAGGTGGGATCTGACCCAGGTGGTCTTCCTCTAGGACTGGAGGTATAAGTACTTTTTGTGGGGTCTCTCTTTTAGGTAACTGGGAGTTCAGGATTTTCCAAGCACCCTCCCCCAACATCCTATTCTCCCATTTTGCGGAAACTAAGGTTTAGAGAGTTTAACTGACTGGCTTGAGGTCACAGCCTTTTAAGGAGAGGACCTGGGTTTCTCCTCTCCAGACTTCTGACTGCTAGGCTGCCCCCTTTCCTGGCTTCCTCTGGGTTTTGCTACTGAGCGTTTGTGGCCCAGGACACAGAGCAAGCTGGGCTGGTAGGCATGTACTGAATGCTGACTGTACCCAGTCCTGCTCAGAAGGTGGCTGAATAGCGAACAGGTACGAAGAAGGAATACTGTGTGCCCACAGTCCCTTGGCCATCAGAGTGGTGCCTCACCATCTGCATGTTCCCTCTAGCCCCAGTCACCCTGGCTGCCCACTTGAGGCTTTTAAGAGCTGTTTTGGGGTTTGATTTTTAACTTCACCTGACACCACTTTCAGGCAGGCATTTCAGGAGGCACCCCAGAAGTAAGAGCTGATGCTAAGACGGTGTCTTGACACAGTGGAGGCCAAATGCCATGTTTTGGGGGTAAAGCTTAACTATTCAGGAGAATGAGTCCCAATTTGGGTGCCAATTTGCCACCCTGTGACCTCAGCCAAGTCTTCTCCACGCTTTGGCCTTTACCTGAGGTGCTGTGATGTGGGTGCGTTCATGTCGAGGAAACCTCTCCCAGGGCAGAAGTTGGAAGTGTTTGGGGGTTGAACAACAATGACGTAGTTAATACTCAAGTGCGCCCTGAGCAGTTCCCAGCCTACAGAGAAGGGGAGGTCCAGGGAGATTGTGAGATCTGCACAGGCTGTGTTTACTGTCCCTTCTGTTGCCAGTTGTGTGGGGGTTTTCCCTACACTAACCAATTCCCCAACTCTCCAGCCAGCAGCTGAGTTCCCTACAGTTTAGTTCTGAAACTGTTTACCTGGAATTGGCATAGTCCCCACATGAAGGGCTCAGTCCTGCAAGACTGCCCCCACTGGTGTCTATAGCTCAGTGGGTTGGGCATCATCCCACATACCAAAAGGCTGCCAGTTTGATTCCCCGTCAGGGCACATACCAGGGTTGTGAGCCAGGTCCCTGATTGTGGGCGTGTGAGAAGCAACCAATCGATGTTTCTCTTCCTCCCTTGCCTCCTCTCTAAAAATAAGTGAAAGCTGGGCTCCCTTTATGTGGCTTTGTGGACTGGGTGCAGGCCTGCAAACCAAAGGGTAACCTGTTCAATTCCAGGTCCAGGCACATGCCTGGGTTACGGGCTGGGTCTCCAGTGGGAGTCATGGCAGGGGCAGCCCATCAAGTTTTCTCCTTGTACATCGATGTTTCCTTATTTTTCTCCTTTCCCCTCTCCCGAAAAATAAAAATTTTTGATAAAAATTAAAAATAAATAAAACCTTAAAGTTCCAACCCACTAATCTAGCCTAGATTTTTCTGGAGACCAATCTGCAGCTGGCCTCTTGTTCTGGCACCTCCCAGTGGCTCCCCAGGGAGGCCAGGCAGAGGCCCCTGGGCCAAGCTGTTGTGACTTTGGCAGGACCCTGCTGAGCTGAGGCCAAAATGTGTGTCAGCCCCAGCCCTGCCAGCAGTGATTCACACCAGGCCTCTGTTTAGCCCCAGGAGGTGACTGGGGATGGCCGCCTCACTTCTGTCTCCAGGACTGTGGCTAAGACTTAATGCCCATTTCCATCAGGCTCTGTGTAGATCCCAGGGTGTCTTGGGTCTAGCCCCACTCTGAGGAGCCTCCATCCTCAGAGACGGACACAGATACCAGCTGGCCTTCTAAGAAGTCAGGCCCTGACTAGTGTGTCTCAGTTGGCTGGGTGTTATCCTGCAGAGTAAAAGTTTGCCAGTTCAATTCCTGCTCAGGGTACACGTTTAGGTTGCAGGTTCTGTCCCAGTTGGGGCACTATGAGAGACAACTGATTGATGTTTCTCTCCCTCTCTTTCTCCCTCTCTTTCCCTCTCTCTAAAAATAAAGAATGTAAAAAGTCAGTTTCCTTTACTCTAAACCCTGTAATGGCTCCTGGGCACCTTCTCAGTAAAACTGAAATTCTCCTGCTGCTCTCCAAGGTCCCACCTGTGACCTCGCCTCACCCTCTTCTCTTTCCATCGATATCAGCTTCCTGTGTGTGCCCTCATTATGCTCAGCTTATTTCCATCTCAGGACCTTTGCCTGTACTGTGCCCTCCCCCTGATACCCGGCCCTTCACCCAGCTCTGCCACAGCCAACTCCTTCTCTGTGGGTCAGCCTATCCCACCCCCTTTGGTCCCTTCTAAGTTTCACGGCCCCAAATTATTTGAGTTAGTGTGTTGTATCCCCAGGCTCAGATCAGGTCCCAGCCTTAAGTAGGTGCTCAGCAAATTCCCAAGGGGTGAGAGACTGAGGCTGCTTCCAGACACATGGAGGTGGAGATTTAGGGGTCATTTCTGTGCTCAGAGTCCTAACTTTCTTCTCAGGATGGGCAGATTATAATACATCACAACCACCATGACTCTCAGTTCTGACCTGGGTCCCGCCCCCCACCAAGTCTGCCTTGTAGAACTCCCTCCAACTAGGAGCCTTCAGTGATTGGCTGGAACTTGGTTGTGAGTCACAAAGCCACCGTGGCACCAGGGCTGTAAGGCTGGTCATCTGGCTGGTGGGTTCAGCTTCAGGGGCAGGTGAGTGGGGCTAGTGGAGGGCTTCGTGGTGGGTATATAGGGACCTGGTCATTCTTTGGCCCCCAGTGTCCTCAGAGTCCCCTTGGGCCTTTCAGCCTCTCTGAGAAGGTTTGGCATCCCAATCCCTCACAGCAGGGGCACTAAGTTTCCCTAAAGGCCTGATGGTGGGTTTGTCTGCCTGGGGGCCCAGCCTGGAAAGTCTATCACATCTTGGGAACCTGGGAAAGTAGACTTAGCGCATGTGACACATAGGGAAATGGGCTTAAAAGAGTTCACCCAAAATTGCCGAGCCAGTCATTCACCTTGTGTGTCAGGGGCCCCTATTCTTCCTTCTTATCCCCTGTAACCCCACTTCTCTTATTCTGTTGTCTGTTTGTTTGCTCATTCTGGTTGAATTCATCGAAAGGTCTGAACCATGTGGTTAATAAAACCCCAGGATGGACCAATTAGACTCTGAAGCTGCCAACTTCAAGTCTGAAGCTTGGGCTATATCCATCCATCTCATCTATCCATCCTTCTATCCATCCTATCCATGCAAGCACAGATCCATCTAGCCATTTATCCATCCATAAACATCTATTGAGCACCTACTGTGTGGACTGTTCTAGACTCTGGGAATCCAAGAGCAAACAAAAGAGACAGACATCCCCACTGATGGGTAGCTCATAGTCTAATGGGGGAGGCAAATCAGAAACAACATGAAGAAGTAAGTCACAGTATGTTGGCTTCTCCAGACCTCAGTTTCCTCCTCTGTGAAATGGGGACAATGACTGTCCTCCTCTAGGGGAGCTGGTCTCAGGCCCATTGGGTCTTATGATTCAGTTCTCATTGTCCCTTTTTCTGAATGGGCCCTTCTGCCTTGAGGCTGGGGTGAAGACTGAGCATGGGGCTGGACATTCAGGCCACCACACAGGTGAAGCCAGATTGTTCATCATGAAAAGAGGAATGCATGGGTCTTTGAGAATGAATTGATTCTGGTCAGCTCTATCTCAAAATGTCTAGTCCATTTTCATCTCAATTAATGATATGGCAGACTGAAGTCTACCATTTTACTATTATTCTTTCTGTTGTACTTGAGTTCTAGTACTGTATTCTCCCTCTTCTGCCTCCTTTGGGTTATTTGAATCTTTAAATGAACCTCTCAATATGTTCTCTGTGAAAAAGGAGCACTTTTGATTGTCTCCTTCCAAGTGAGTGTGATGTTAACCATTCTCAGTAGAGGGCACTGTTGAGACATTGCTAGACAAAGAGGCTCACTTGCAAGA